GTTCGGAGAAGTCTTTGCAAAGCAGCATTATCATTCTGTAGCACGCTGGAAAAACCTCGCCCTGTTATCAAAAAGCAGTTTCCTTAATAACTATCAAAATTATTATACCTCGTCACATGCCCTCTTTGTGGGTGGGCTATTATGTTTGGCAAAGAAATGTGGTACAGCACATTTTGTTTGAAGCAACCTTTCCCTCTCTGGAAGAAACATGCAATCTCAGTATGGCTCTGTGGAAAATTGGGCCGAGGCTTGATTGTTCGAATCCTCGCACTGGACTTCTTTACTGAGGAGATTCCTGCGTCTCCATGTACCATTGTTATGGGACTGTCTTTAGATGCCCAAGACAAATTTGAATTCCTTCCTGTAACTTTGTCTTAACCACGAGGTACTTCGGAACAACGGTGCCTCTTGCGTTCTTTTAGCCATTATGATTTTAAGAAGTCCTTAGAACTCTAAATGAGGCAATGATCCAAACACACGTAAGGGTTTATCTTCAGGAAAGAGCCAGGAGGCTTGCTCTCGTTTTTACTCTCCTGTCTGACAGGCAGAATGAATGGGGGAGAAATGTATATGGTGGGCCCAGGAAGCAGAAGTAGGACTGGTTTCTGGGGTAACTTGGCACCATGCCGAGAAGGGCCCAGCACTTCATTTAATGCTGTGCTGTTGCCACGTTGATATTTTGAGTGCTTTTTGAACAAGGGTCCCCACATTTTCCTTGTGTACTGACCCCATAAGTCATGTAGCAGGTCCTGCTTTGAGGCCGTCAACTGTCTTATTAACTGCTAGAAGATCCCAGATATCGACAAAAAAGGAATGGGATGAAGTGTGGTGTCTGGTGACAGGCTCTGCATGCTAACGAATTAACTAGAACCTGTGTGTGTGTGTGTTCTTGTTTTAATGTTGGTCTTCGTATTGGGTGGATTTCTGTTTTATGCAAGGAAATTTCTACCACCCAAGTTCCCATGTTTACAAGTCTAGAAAAAATTCCTTAGAAGTGGAAAGAAATAGGGAGTGGATCTGGGGAAATGTGAGAGCTCCTTATTATTTTGCGTCACGAGCAGCTTTGGCCGGCAAATTTGGCTTCGTTGCTCAAATTCCAGTGTCAGGACTTCATATGGCTCCCTTCCAAATGGAGTCAGTTCTAGGCAGGTGCTTATTGTTGTGATTAGTTCTGTTGTCTAAATTGTGACAGAGCTCACCTCCTTCACATCTATGCTTACATGTCACCCCCTCTGTGAGGCCCATCCTGCCAACGTCACTGTGATCCACAGCCCACTCCCTACTCCTGATTTCCCTTATTTCCCTTCCTTTCCTTTAAATACATAAGGCCTGGCTCATAGTAGGTGCTCGATCACCATTAATTGAATAAAGGAATGAGGAGACGGGTTGATAGCACACATTCCTAACAATTACAGATAAACCTTGATGAGAATTAAAATGTTCGCTTTATTCTTATCTCTTCACTCCCCAGCTGGGTCTGTTCTCTGAAAAATTGATTCTCGTTCTCAGAATTCTTCCAGGGTCAGCCCCTAAACAGTGCTATTTTTATGATCTCTAGCCAGTTTAAGGTCTAGGATTTTTCCAGTCTGAGTGTCCCCATGTTATTTAGGAACTGTATTTTCTAAGGTCATGGTAGGAATGGAGATAAGATAATGCATTCCTTGCAGAGTAGGATGTTGAGAACATATGGAATATTACTACTCCTAAGGGAGGGGATCTCTCTCTTTCTGGAAGGAATTCGTCTGGGTCTTTCACTGGTTTTGCTGTGGGCCAAGTTTCCTGCCAGAGAGGAGTTCTGTTGGGATAACTGTCAGTCCTTCATCTCACTTTTCCTGAGGATGCTGGAAATATTAGTGTCCTCTATCCCAGTAATATTAAAAGTGAAATTCAAATTACTAGTCTACTTCAATAGCTCTTCTTTTGTATAAAAACTGGCTATTTGTTAAAATATGTACTAACTTGAAAAAAGCCTCAATAAACTTTTCATCTAATCAGTTTGAAGCAGTCCTGTTTTTGAGTTACAGCTGAAAACTGGACTCTTTGGCTAAGAGATACTTTGATGATTAACTCAGTGAAGGAAGGGTTGGTACACGGACAAAGTAATGAAGGAAGAACGTGAGAGTACGTGTATAAAATAGAATCCATATTTGACATACCCAGACTGATATACTGGTTTTTAAACAATTGTTTCTGTGTACTTTCCATAATTTTTTCTTTATTCTCTTTGAGTTTTTGAGAAGACTTCTGACAATCTAAAATTCAATTTACTGATAGGAGAAGTGAAGGACACAATTATAGTATTAGTTTTCAATCTGAGAGCCTAATTGCCACATTCCACCTATTTACTATGCTTAATCTATTTATTTATTTATTTTTTTTTTAGAGGAATAAGAGGACAGGCGGGCACTTGGTTCTGTCAAGTTATAGGCATAGACATTTGTGTTTTTCAACTCCTTGCAGTGGAAATAATGACTGTTTGGACACTCAAAACCAGGTGGAATAAATGTACGGTGAAGAACATCTCGTTTCACAGTGAGGAAATGGAGGAACAAATTTTAATATAAAAATCAAATAGATCTGAGAATGTAAAAAGGTTTTTTGTTTTTGTTTTTTCCCTTTCCCTACCAAAGTCTGTGAATTGCTGTGTTTGGGTACATTGGAAAAGTCTTACGATTTTGTTCCTTATGCATACAAACATTGTTTCAGTGAAAGGAAATAGGAAGAAAACAGTTAAAATGAGAAGACTGTGTCTGAATTTTAGTTTAGGTCGGAGATTTTGAAAATGTTAAGTATTTCCCAAAGTGAAACAGTCCTAGCGAATTTTCTGGATACTGTATGTTTTCATTTTCCCAGGGGGGATGGGGCAGTGCTGAGGTGGCTTCCTGGTAAAACAAGGGTGGGGAAAGCTGGTGTGTCCCGGGGTGTCTAGCAGGAGGTGGATGTGTTGTTTCCATGGACACACCACTGCTCTATTTTCCCCTCTAGGTTGTGACAAATGGGACTGGGTTTTGCCTAGTTAGGTGGAGGCTAGTATGAATTTATTCCCATAAACTTTTTTTTCCAATCGCCCCCCTCAACCTCCGTAATCTTCATATAAACAATTTACTTCCAAGGTAGAATTACTTTGTGATCTTACTTTAGAGATTTGCTTAATTCCTTCTAATGGGCTATGTTCAGGCTAATGGAATAATTCAAAAAGTAGGTGTGTATGTGTGTGTGTGTGTGTGTGTGCGCGCGTGTGCGCGCGTGTGTGTTAATCATCAGAAAAAGCACACACCAGTATACTGAGGAACGTACTTACTCTCTTGCCTGCTTGGAAGGCGTGATGCCTCTTGTTCTACCTCTATTTTCATTTGGAACCCTCAGTGCAAATTCCTGGTTTTCCTGAATAACTGTAGGCACTCACAGCTTCAGACCACGTGCTGCCTCAGTGGGAGTTAAAAGGTGCTCTGGAGGGAACGCGGGCTTCAATAAGGCTGTGCTATAGTTCAAGAAGGAAAATGGGGAACAACGGGCTTGTGTATTTCCCCAGCTACATGATATAGTTTAGTAATTTGGGAGGTAGAAGCAAAGGCTGAGTTTGTGCCCACACAACTCACACAGTGTAATAAAGTAACCTTTAGACAACAGCTGTAATGCAAAAAGCCCATGCCAAAAACAACAGAGCAGGGCCCAGTTCCTGTCCCTTTAAAGCCTGACAGCTGAAACGGTGGCTGACTTTAAAGACACACACAAAAAAGAACAAAACAAAACAAACAATAGTTCCAAAGCAAAGTTTTCTGAAGAAAGGGAAATGTACTAATTAGAAGCTAGACATTTCAAAAGCATTGTCTTATGGAAAAGGGCCAACCTTATTGGTGGACGTCTGGACTTCTGGTTCCTTACTATTGGCTGAGAAAATGCTTCAACTTCTTGAATCCTTTTTGGGTGACACTAAGACATTGTATCCATTTAATAAAAATGCTAAATTTGGATTAGCCTTATTATTTATGCTCTGGGAACTGGAAGAGCAGAGAATAATATCCTCCTACCCATCCTGATTTAACATCAGTTTTTAAAAAGTACTCATTTCTTCCTGACAGCTAGTTTCAGTGGCAGAAAATGCTGAGAAATTGGGATCTGTACTTCCAAGTTTTTAGAAAATTATATCACAAATTGTAGCTAATTGTAACTGACTGTGCCACAGATTTCCAGGTTACTGCCAAATACAGGATTTCAGAAAATTAAAAAAAAAAAAAAGCCAGGTCACTTAAGGAAAGTAGTTTATTTCTTGCTTCGATTCTTTCCCAGAACAGACATAAAAAATACACTATTTTCCTTCCCGGTATTAAGGAGATATTTTCCAAATCCTCAGCATTGCATGCATTGCATTCCTTTATCAAGATCTTACTCTGTTTGTGACTCTGCTGAAAACTGATCTCTAAGAATGAATCTGATACGTGCTTTTACCTACTTTTCTCTTGTTTAAAGCTTAGTTTAATTAAGTACAATGACATTCATTCTGATTCTGCTAGGCTCTCTGGAACATACTACCTCATGACAGATAAAAAGTTTCAAGTTGTTTGTTTTATTCTTCCTCTCTCCCCCATTTCAAAGAATTTAACTTTTGGGTGTATTCCTTGCTTTAAAAAGTCTCCAAGTTGAGGATCTGCTTTTTAATCCCCTGTCTGGCAAATACCCACTGGAAGAGAAACTGCCTTTTTAAGGTACTGAGAAGGTACATGACAGTGAACCGAACTGCCTCCCAAGCTTCAGATTGCTCTTTAAGAAGGCCGGCCGGCACAGTTTGGCGAAAATACAGACCACTGCCCTGCCCGCAGGTTCTGAAGCCCGAGAATGACAGAGGGTCACAGGGGTTAAGAGAGCACCAGAGCCGCGTCCACGAAGGGTGACAGTTCTGTTTTTCCACTCACAGGGGCTCGGCGGCCAGGGCACCAGCAGCGCGTCTGCCCTTCCCCTCAGCAACCACCTCCCCGAGTGATAACTGGACACAGACTTACTGTGATGGCCTGAAGTCTTTCCTTCACCAGCTCGGCTTCTTCCATGCTGGAAGTCAAGGGCAGACAGACAGGGGCAGGAAGTCCCAAGCTACCATAAAGCAGGAGCCTCCTGGGGGAGAGGCGGGGGGTGACAGCGAGAAAGCCCTTGGCCCCCGTGGAGGAAGGCAGAAACCCCCGAGGCGGCAGGAGCGTCTCTGAGCAGATGTCCAGAGCCGGCCAGACAGACACATGTAATGAGAGTGTGCTGGGGAGGCAGACCCTGAGGCTGCTGGCGAGAACTGACTGACAAGTCTGAACGGCAGCCGCACCAGCCCTTTTCCTTCAGGAGCTGCCAGCTCTTTGTTGTAATGTGCACAGTTAGCAAGGCACATTTTCTCATTAACTGTTCCTTACCCAACTCATTATTTTCCAGGAGTGGCACAGGGAGCCCGGAGGCGGAGGGTGTCATCGGCCTGTGCTCTAGCGACACACGGCCATCTCTGGGTGTGTGTGGGTCTGTGTGTGTGTGTCCAAAGTTTACCTGCACCCTCCTCCCGAGTTTGCAGAGACAGAGCCTTGCCTGGACTGACTGGGGCAAGCCACTCGCTTGCCTTTCTTCCTCTGACTGGCTTCAGGCAATGTAATAAATTCTGTGTTTATCTCAGAACTGAGTATGGGGGCAAATTTACCTCAGGTCGCCCTTCCCTCTCCCTCCTGCTCCCACTTGAGCAGTTGCTTTCAAATTTTGGAGACTTGAGGTCAGGGAGAAATCAAAGGGGTTAAGGTGACGCTCGGCCCACTGAACAGCATTGGTTGTGATTTAAACGTAAGGTACCACCCTTGGTTATTTCTTGTCTTGGATTGCCGCGGGATGCCATTCTTTCTCGGACCTTATTCAGAAATGACACTCTGGGCTTTCAGGAAGGTGCCCATTTGGACCTCACCAGTGGTGCAAGAGAGAGGGGTGAGCCTTTGAAAGTGTGGCCAGACATTCTGTAACTCATGTAGTCTGACATTATATGGGTGTTCCCTTGCCCTTTAGAAAAAGAAAGCCAAGCCCAGTGAAACGCTTAGCAGAGGCTGGAAGCTTTACCATTGATCTTGTTTTCTTTCCTCTTTGATTTCTTTGATTAAATTTTTTGCAGTAAACCATAATTACCATCTACCTCGTTATTCTGTGTTTGGATGTTATCAAGCACCTTCGGATCAGCATTCAGCTGAACACGTTAAAGGGACAAGCCAGACAGTGACCATGTGGTTTAATTTCCTACACACTGTTGATCGTAATAATAATAGCTAATCTTTGTTGAATACTCTCTATAGAGAAATACTCCACATACTAAATACCATACAAGGTGCTGGGAGATAGATGCTATTATCCTTACTTTACAAATGAGGAAACTGAGGCTCAGAGCTTTAATTTGCTGCCTAGCAATAATGGCAAACCCAAGACTGGCTGACAGACTTCATGATAGCCGTTCATCAAGGCCTACCCAAGAAATGGGTCAGAGGAAGACACAGGCTGAAGGCTGAATCAGTCTTTATGAGAAAGAGTTGGACCCCCAGCCTGTTCTTCCATCTAGCTTCCAGAACACTTACATCTGGAAGCAAACCCCTTAGGGAGAACTCCTTGGGAATCTCTACAGTAATTTAGTGGCCCTAGAGAGAAAAGATTTTTCCATATTGTCATGTGGAGCTACCCAACAGCAGAGTGAAACCCATCAGTGTCAAGAGTCTGAAATCATCATTGAGAGTAGCCTGTCCTTGTTCATACATACTCAAAAGAGATGGTTTGAGAAACTAGAGAAGTGGAGAATTGATTAGGCATGGGCCAAATCTGGTGACTATTGGATGGATACTTGTGCTTAAAAAAATCAAACCCTCAGAATTTTTGATTTTGTTTGTGTAGGTCCTGGATGAAATTAAATACAAGGGAGAAGTAGTGATGAATATCTCAGCCGGAATTGCCTATTTGTAGCCTGGAACAGATGGGCAGTTATCCAATTATTAGTCTGGATATTTCCTAAAAACAATTTACCACTCAAATCTCATTTCTGCTGTGGGAAAACCCAAAGGTCTTCTAGTGTAGGGGAGGATTGGATAAAATAAGACCAGGGAATTTAGGAGGGAGCAGAGTTGTGACAACTGTTGGTACCATTATGTATTTATTCATTTATTTAGTTGATAATACTCCTAATTGCTCATATTTTAAAGGCATTTGTTATGCATTTATTCTGTACATACTTATTGAGTACCTATGATGTGTCACACACTGTGCTAGGTGTCTGGGATACAAGGATGAGCAAAATTCCTGCTCTCTGGAACTTCTCTTCTGGTAGGTAATGAAAGATAAACATAATAAGCAAGCAAAACAGAGTAGGTAAGTAGATGATTCTGTTGGAGTCTTCTGAGTAAACAATCGGCAAGATGGGTGGAAAGTACTAGATTTTATTAAGAGAATGACTCTGAGAGAGAAGATGGGAGAGGTAGGCAAAGAGGGTGGATGCCTGGAGTCTGGGAGAGTGGTCAGACTGTGTCACAAGTCTGGCTCAAGCGAGGGAGAGAGGAAGAGAAAGTGGTGTGGGAACTGCCTGAGCTGCAGTGCAGGCTCCGTCAGACTGGCAAGGCCATCAGAAAGTCCTGCGGCCAAGGCGTCTGGGTGGCTCAGTCCGTTAAATGGCCAATTCTTGATTTCAGCTCAGGTCATGGTCTCAGGGTTGTGAGATTGAGACCCGTGTCAGGCTCTGTGCTCAGCGCCCAGTCTGCTTGAGTTTCTCTCTCCCTCTCTCTCTGTCCCTTCCCCTGATGGCATGTGTGCTCTCCTCTCTCTCTCTTTCTCTCTCTCTCAAATAAGTAAATAAATAAAATTTTAAAAAGATTTTAATTATTTATTTGTCAGAGAGAGAGAGTGCATAAGCAGGCAGAGTGTCAGGCAGAGGGAGGAGCGGGCTTCCAGGTGAGCAAGGAGCCCTAATGCAGGACTTGATCCCAGGACTCTGAGCTGAAGGCAGATGCTTAGCTAACTGAGCCACCCAGGTGCCCCTAAAAAAAAAAAAAAAAAAAGAAAAAGAAAAAGAAAAAAAATCTTAAAAAATCCTGGAGCCAAAGTCAGCTACCAAAGAGGGCCCATGTCTGTCAGGAATGAGCTTATTATAGCATTTCTGCCCTACTCACCCACTGGCTGGGAGTAGCCCCTGAGAGATAGGGTCCTGATGCAAAGGCAGGGATAGATTTCAGGGTGCAACAGCTGGGACCCTTTATCAGTTATGTTCCTGTAGTTGGATGTGTGGGCAGCACATTTCTATGACAGCCACAGTGATAAATGCATTGGAAAGAAAACAGAGCAAGGGAAGAGAATAAAGATTGCTAACTGGTAGAAGGTTGCAATTTGCAATTTAGAATGAAAAGGGAGCATTTGGATAAATGCTTGAAGAAGGGGTCACAGTTAGCCACAAGTATTCAAGTGGGAAGAACATATCAGGGGAAGTCTGTGCAAAGGCCCCAAGGTGGACTTTCTCTGGCTTGTTTTAGGAACAAGGCCACTGTGGTGTGACAGGAGGCGCTGCAGGGAATGGTAACAGAGGTGGCTGGAAATGTAAAAGATCTCAATCTGCGTAGGTCTTATGCGACACTGTAAGGACTTTGTTTTTATTCAGTGTGAAGTGAGGAGCCCTTGAGATATTTTATACAGAGAAATGGTGTGACCTAGCTGTTTTGCAAGGATGGAAGCAGGGAGAGTAGGTAGGACACTATCGCTGTAATCCAGTTGGGAAATGATGGCAGCTTGAGCCAAGGTGATAGCAATAAGGGTATTTATTGGGAATTGGTTGAACTGTGGATATATTTTAAAGTAGAACAACAGGATTTCTTGGATATAGAGTTTGAGAGAAAGAGAAGATTCATGATAACTCTATGACTCTTGGACTGAGCAAACAGAATTTGCCATCAACTGAGATAGGGAAGTGGTGACATAGTTTTCTTCTGACAGAGAGGGCAGATACCAAGTGCTCAGTTTTGGACAAGTTAATTAGTTACCACATGGAGATGTTGAGGAGAAACTGGATATATGAGTTTGGAGTTCAGGAAAGAAGCCTCATCTAGATTTACAAAAGATGTCACATCTCTGAAAGTGAGCTGGATCACAAAATATCTAGAACTGTAATTCACAATGGAGCAGAATCTAGTGAACTAGCATTCATTAAACATTAACTAAATATTCATGACCAAATTCAGTCTCTGTAAAACACATATACAATAGAACTTATCTGGTCCCAGATATCTCATTAAACTAATTTTACCAAAGACTTTGGTGTTTGCCAAGCAATGTAAATGAAGATGTCAAGAGTTAGAAATTAAAATCAATGACCTGATCTTGTATAAGGAAGTAAGGGTTATAACAGATTCTGAGACAGTGCCCTTTTTTTTTTTTTTAAGATTTTATTTACTTATTTGACAGACAGAAACCACAAATAGGCAGAGAGGCAGGCAGAGAGAGAGGGAGAAGCAGGCTCCCTGTGGAGCAGAGAGCCGGATGTGGGGCTCTATCCCAGGACCCCGGGATCATGACCTGAGCCGAAGGCAGAGGCTTAGCCCACTGAGCCACCCAGGCACCCCGACAGTGCCCTTTCTTAAAATGAATTCACTATCTCATTGGAGAGGTAAGACATATGTTAGAAATAATTAGGGGACAAAGAATAGTAAACCAGCTGTCATTGTATTGTGATAAAACAAAGTTCTAACTATTGGACTATTTGGAACCATGAGAGTATAGCATAGAGTAACGGTAGTGTGGAGCACAAGCAGTAACTGTGAAATGAGTTGAAGAAGATAAAGATTAATGTATGTTGCAGAAAAGCCACTGAGGGGGAAAGCAGAACTTAAAAGCCATTTTTAACAAAAGATTTTATTTATTTATTTGACAGAGAGGGAGAGATCACAAGTAGGCAGAAAGGCAGGCAGAGGGATGGGGGAAATAGGCTTCCCGCTGAGCAGAGAGTCCGATGTGGGGCTCGATCCCAGGACCTGAGCTGAAGGCAGAGGCTTAACCCACTGAGCCGCCCAGGTGCCCCCTAAAAGCCATTTCTAAGGGTGAGAGGGAGAGTAACATAATGTGACAGAGGATCAGAAAGGAGATGGT